GGCCCCGATGAGTAACTCCCGGAATAACCGGGTGATGGTGGAAGGGGTTGGCGCTCGGGTAGTGCGCGGCCCGGACTGGAAGTGGGGGAAGCAGGACGGCGGCGAGGGCCATGTGGGCACCGTCCGGAGCTTCGAGAGCCCCGAGGAGGTGGTGGTAGTGTGGGACAACGGCACCGCTGCCAACTACCGCTGCTCCGGGGCTTACGACCTCCGCATCCTGGACAGCGCGCCCACCGGTAAGCCGCGGCCACCTGGCTCGGGCCTGCGCGCGCGGGGGGAAGGGGCGAGCTGCGGTGGACGTCGGTGGCGCGGGGAGAGGTCTGCGGTGGGACACCTGGTGGGCAGCGCCCGGCTGGAGTGAGCGGAAAGGGAAAGCGTAAAGGGAATTCTAGGTTCAGAACGGGTGAACAAAAACTTACAGAAAAGACCCCCTACCCCCAAGGGAAATGATGGCAGCACCATCACTGGGATGCTTTCAAGCCTGGAAAACACAAAGCACCGGGAAGAGAACAGACACAGCTCCCCCAACCCGACTCCTCCTGTTGGGAAGGAGTCTGGAGAGGCCTATCTAATAAGCCATTGAAATTAATCAGCCACCAAGTGATAACTGTCTGAAGGGAGGCTTGCCTTGCCATATGGTGCTCAGTTGACCGTTTACAATTGCCGAGGGGCCGTTGATACCTCGGATTTGTGGAGATGCCTTTTTTCTTACCGCCTGTGACACAGAATGACTTGGAGTTCAGTAGCCAAATGTTACTTGGGACTCTGTGGAATGATTTTTCATCCATATTGTTCTATTTTGTATCTTTATATCAATAGAGGGAAAAACAGCCTGAGCTCTTGAACCATTTCTTTGTGTTAAATACTTTTTCCGAGTGGCAGATCGGCATAGGGGACACCTGATTTTATTTTTTGTTACACTAACATCCGTCTCAGTAAGGTGATGTCAGAATCTTACCCATTCACCTAGCAGTGAGTCAGGATCCTTGATTAGTGAATCTTGATTAGTGACTTTTAGGGGTCTGTTATTGACGCTAGACTTTCTAAATGATTAAACCAAAGGCTTGCTTTCACAAAATAAATTTCAAATTCATTTTCATATAGATTCATCTTTGGTATTATTTATCCTTGATTCTGTAGAAAATAGTTCACATTTAAAATTGGGTACTTTTCAGTATTCCTAAATGAGCTGCTTCTAAGACATTGAGTTTGGCAAGGCCTTACAAATCTTGGAATGGGCTCATAGTTATTATTAGTAGCAATGAAGAACTTAACACAAGCCAACTCAATTTTTGAACAGCTAATTCAACAAATTGTATTCTTTAGCCAGCTTTTTAAAAACAATTATTAAAAAAATTTTTTTCTAAAGCGACAGTTGTCTCGCTTTATTTCTTGCGCTGGTCTTGAACTCCTGACCTCAAGCAGCCCTCCCATCTCAGCCTCCCAAAATGCTGGCATTACAGGAGTCAGCCACAAGGTCAGGCTTTAGATAGCTTTCTGAATATTAAAAAGAGTGTATGTACATGACCAGAAGAAAATGAAAAGATTCAACAGCCCAAAAAGGGACAGCCATTGTTATCAGTTTTTTGTGTAGTCTTACAGAATACTCTATTGCATGGCAAGCATGTGTGTGACTATACTATAAATCTAATCCCCTTTTAAGTACAAATGATAACTATATTCACTCCTCTGCATTTTCGTTTCTTTCACTAAATTATATTGGTGATTGTTCCATTGTTTCATGGCTGCATAGTATTCCAGTGATTGGATACGGTGATTAACCAGGAGTTTATCGATGGGCGTTTCATGTTTTCTTTACAATGATTCAGTGAATAGGTCCTTGCACATATATCCTTATGCATATGTGCTGAGTATTTCTGAAGAAGTGGAATTGCTGCATCAAAACATTGCACATATTTAACATTTTGGTAGATATTGACTAATTGCTTTTTGAAGACAAAAGCAAAAAGTGGCAGATCGGCATAGGGGACACCTATGTGTTATGAGTTGACACTGCCAGCAACAGTGTTTGAGGCCTAATTTCTGCCTACTCTTTTTTTTTTTCTTTTTTTGAGACAGGGTTTTGTTTTGTCACCTGCAGCCTTGAAGTTTTGTTGTCATGCTAGCTCAAACTAAAGTCTGACCACAACCCGTATTTGGAGGAATTCTTGGTATCAGTAATTGTAGCTTTATGAGGAAATTTAAATATCTAGAGTAAAGTGTAACAGATTCTTTACTACGGTGATTTTTGAAGGGATAGTAATGTTATCTATATGTTTGTAGTATGGGGTATATCTATCATATTAATAGTTTTATTATCTTACTATAAAAGTAGATTTTTTCAGAAGTAACTTTTAGAATCTTTGTTTAATAAGATCATTTTATATATTGTTATATGTAGTGGTTTATCTTGTTCATCTAATCTTTTAATAAACCTTTTAAGAGCAGGATGGACACAGGACAGCCAACCTTCATATGAAATACTTGTTGAAATATATTTTAATTTCTATGGTTTAAATTCTTCAGGTTTTTTTTTTTTTTTAAAGAATTGAACAAAATTGTAAGCTCCTGGCTCTTGTTTTGCCCCAGTACTATACTACTACTTTCAGTTTTTTTTTTTTCTTCAAAAGATTTAATAATCAGTGTTCATTGACATTTTGTTACATTCTATAAGATTTACTCAATATTTATTAAGTACTTGATATTTGTTTGCATAAAATTAACATTTTAAAAATTAACTTTTGTTTTTGAAACAATTGTAGTCTTCCAGAAAAATTACAAAACTAGTAAGAGTTCCCTTTTGCCCTTTACCCACCTTCTGCAGCTGTTAATATCTTAGCAAGTACAATGATCAAAACCAGAAAATTAACACTAATACGGTAATACCGTATTAACTAATCTATACATGTTATTCAAATTTCATTTATTCAAATTATATGTAGTGGTTATTATTAGTGTCCTACTAATATTCTTTTTCTGATCCAAGATCACACGTTGCATTTAGTGGTCTCTTCCAATCTGGGCGAATTCTTCAGTCTTTAGTCAGTGTCAAGGTAGTGAAAAACAATCTTGTTATCTCTCAAATTGGGTATTTCTGCTGCTTTTTCATGATTAAATTCAGATTATGTATTTTCGGCAAGACTATCGTAGAAATAATGTTTTGCCCTCGTTAGTGCATGATACCAGGAGGTACATAGTATCCATGTGTCTCATTAATGACTGTTAACTCGGCTAAGTCACCAGAAATTTTACCAACTGTTGCTTTTGTACCAGCAATGTGATGCCAATATGAAAAAGATAACTTGTATCTTACGTATTATTGTGAAAATACTTTTGACCTCATGAAGCCCTTCAAAGGGTCTTGAGGATTTCCCTAGTGGTTGAAGAACAACACTCTGAAAGTCACTGTCGTAGAGAGAATCTCTGAGCACATGGAGGCTTGTATAAGAATGTTCACAGCAGTTACTATGGTTTTGAGGTAAATAAAATAAAATTTAAAAAAGAATGTTCACAGCAGTGTTGCATGTAAAAACAGAAAATTGGAAACAACTTAAATGTACATTAACAGGAGAATGGATAAATTGTATGAATTTATATAGTACAGTACTGTATATAAAGAGAATGTTAAGCAAATAAAGTAAGTTGCAAAAGAAAACCTATGATATGTTAAAGTGCGGAACAAAACTATTTTAGGGTAGGGTTTTGCAACCTTGGCACTATTGACATTTTAAATTGGATAGGATAATTTTTTGTTATAGGAATGTCCTGTGCATTGTAGGCAGGCATCCCTGGCCTCTACCCATTAGATGCAGTAGCACCCCACCTCCTTGTGGCAACCCACAATATCTCCAGACATTGCCAGATGTCCCCTAGTGGGGGCAAAATTGCTCCCAATTGAGACTCATTGGTTTAGGGATATGTACATGTGTGGTAAAAGTGTGCCACATAAAGTTAATGATAAACACTAAATTCAAGGGAGTGGACTAGACCTCCTTATGGTGAAGGGAGTGGAGAGCACAATTGGTAGAAGTACACCAGGGGCTTTTAAGTATTTTGGTAATGTTCTGGGATTAAACCTACCCCGTGGTGAGTGCATAGGTGTTATACACACACACACACACACACAATTTTATTTTTTTTGAGACAGTCTCCCTCTGTGGTCCAGGCTGGAATGTAGTTGTGTGACCTCAGCTCACTGCAACCTCCGTCCCCCAGATTCAAGCGATTCTCCTGTCTCATCCTCCTGAGTAGCTGGAATTACAGGCATGCACCACCACACCTGACTTTTGTATTTTTAGTAGAGACGGGGTTTCACCATGTTGGCCAGGCTGGTCTCCAATACCTGACCTCAAGTGATCCATAGCTTCAGCCTCCCAAGGTGCTGGGATTATAGGTGTGAGCCACCGCACTCAGCCCGTTCTATATTTTTGTGTGTGACGTATTTTTATGCTTAATTAAAAAAAAAAATTATATTTATCAGAGGGAGAACTGAGGTTGCCTTTGATTATTCATCCTTTGTTCCCTAGTTCCACCTACATTATATGAATAGAAAATTTATTGCAGTATTATTGAGAATTAAGAAATGGGTAACCTTCAGCATAAGATTCCTTGCAACTTTTCTGGGAGTTAAGGATTCTGGAGTGGTTGGATCATTGTGAATCTTTCTGATATGATTTTTTTCACTACATTTTGAAGATTTTGTCTGGGAGTTGTATGCGGGTCTGTAATATTTTGGCATATCAGCTTTATTTTTTCTTTCAGGACACACATGATATGTTTGAATTTATGGTCTAGGATAGTTAAACTTTGCAGAGAGGAGCATTTAGTATCTGTTTGAGTGATATAACTTCCATCTTGTTTCCAGATTCATTTGGCTCATTTGTAGTGAGCAAGAAGATTTTGGAACTATATGGGATGTTATTTAATTAGTTTGGATTTAATTTTGTAAAGTCTGTAGTCAAGTAGGTGTAGTTGACATTTTATCATCTAGGCACTGATTTTATAGGAGTTGGGGAGAAATGTGTTTTTATTTATGCTTGTTTTGTGTTCACTTGACTACACTGTTGTAGTGTTACCAGAGGTAATGGAGAAAATGAATGTAGCTTTCCTGTTAAGGTTCTGTCATTCTTGGTATAGATAATACAAAGTTAAAGGTACAGAAAATCAGCTTTATTCAAAACCAGCTTCGGGTCATTGTTCATTCAAACTGTTTTGGGGGTAGTTCTTTGTCCTTTTC